TTCTTTTCGTTTAGGACGACAACAGTAAGACTGTGATACTGGTACATTTTTTGTTGCAGCGATTAAGCGTTCGCAACCCTCCGGTGGCTGTGTTAAGGAAGATTCGAATAGGGTGCTCTATTGATCAAAGTGCCGTGCAAAAAATACGTTGTATACTGATAACTTGTTAATTTGGTTGTACGGGGACTTAACAAAGAATTTCTGTAATAATCTGGTTGAGTTATTGTGATAAAATCTGGTGATTTTCTAAATAGGAGATTAGAGTAGTGACGTCTTAAAAGATCGACTTTATAACAAACTGATTCATTTTTGTTATTTTTTTCCAGCGGCCCACAGCTGTCTTCACACACAGTTTCGTTGTGGAGACAACGTGTGCATCCCCAAATGGCAAGTGTGTGACGGTGTTCCTCAGTGTCACGACAAGTCTGATGAATTGACCTGCGCAGTTATCACCAACGGATGTAACGCCACTCAGTTCAAGTGCGCCAACCGGAAGTGTATAGCTAACGCATTTGTGTGTGACAGTAAGGATGATTGCGGAGATGCTTCAGATGAGAAGTACTGTGGTAAGTACAGAAGATGCATTGCTGCGTGACCAAACGATTTCGTGACAGCGTCACGCTTTGTTAAGTCAATGAAAAGCGAAATTGTATCGGATGAGAGATACTATGTCAATAGATAGATTGTTACGTGGTGAGAACGATGTCACTGAATGGTTGAAATATGTTTTGTTGAATAAGTTGTCCGTGGAATGGAAGCGTCCATCTTAAGGGAGCTCGTCACGGTATTTTGATTTAGTTTGGCCACGGACAAAATTATCTTTAAATTAAAGAAAACCTGAAAATAATAGTTTACTAAGAAAGAAAAACACCAAAGAGAGAATAATACACCATAAAGAAACAAGGATGGTTAAGGATGGAGAAGATTAACAACGATTAGAAACGACGAACTTGAAAAAATTAGGCTAAACTTTTCAAGATGCGTAAACTGTGACGTCACTCCTTTACACACTCTAAGTAGTCTAGACTCATCATAAGAAACTTTATCATGCACTGCTATTTTCATCCCAAGGTGGAAGACACAAATCTTGTGATGTCGCAAATGGAGGCTGTGAACAGAACTGTACCGTGGTCGACGGAGGTGTGGTGTGTTTCTGCTGGCGCGGTTTTCGACTGTCCATGGACACTCGGAAGTGTCTGGACATAGATGAGTGTCAGATATTCGGTGTGTGCAGCCAGCAGTGTGTGAACAGCCGAGGAAGCTACAAGTGTCTGTGTGACCAAGGCTATGTCAGTGATGGTGTGCATGGAAGGGACTGCAAGGCAGAAGGTACGTTTGTGGCAATGCAAAAAAGCGACTTTAACATTTTCATTTCCTTGGGCATGGTAGTGTAATGGTTACGGGGTTTGACTTCCCGTCTACGCGTTGTGTTGTGTTGTGTTCTTGGGCAGGACACTGTCAGGGATAACCTGATGAGCATTTCATCCGGGGGGAGAAATAACACTGCTAGTCACTTCATGCTACAGAAACTGGAATGACCTGCTATATGCCACCAGGAAGACTTGATACCTGATCTCTTTTAATTTTCAATCTTTCTTTTATTTATTTATTTGTTTATTTATTTATTTATTTATTGTTTTATTTTGTTTTGTTTTGTTTTGTTTTTGTTTTTGTTTTTGTTTTTAATCTTTTATTATTTTGTTCAAAGCCCGTACTGTTACCTCTCCATTTTAACTATTAGATATATCTTTCATAGTAAGTTCTGGGGATCTGAAANAAAACTTAGTTTAATAGTGCCCACAGTATCCAATCTGTGTCAAAGTATATAGTTTGACTATTGTATCAATTTTCAGGCGGATGTACTGGACCGAAATAGGTTACCAGCCAACCATTAAAACAGCCCTCATGGAAGGAACAAAGCGCAGTATTCTGGTACAAGACAAGCTCAAATGGCCAGTTGGCTTAGCACTTGATGCTCCAGCAAAGAGACTCTACTGGTGTGACTCAAAACTAAAGCGTGTAGAGTCAATAAGTCTTGATGCGCGTGACAGACACGTTATCTGGCAGTTTGTCAACAGTGACTTACCCACCACGATTGCGTTACACGAGAATTTCTTGTACGTCACAGTGCAATCCGGCAAGCTGTACAGGTTAAACAAGTTTGGCCAAGGTCCACTGACCGTGTTGGCGCACGGGCTCAGGCGTCCGGTTGGATTGGCAGTGTATCAACAACAGCAGCAATATGTACCCAGTGGTAATGTGAATTTGTTTTTATTACAGCGAACGCATGCTGTCAATTCAGTGTCAGTCAGTAGAGGTTACCAAGCAACGACGTGTGTCCTTATGATGACGTACCGATCTGATAACTTTTAGTGCGTTCGTCAGTGTTCGTTTAGCACGTTCGTGCGATTTTCGGAGCTGTTCGTATGTGCGGAAACTCTTCGGGTCTTTTCCATTGCCTGACCTAAAATCAGTATTATCTACCTCATTGTGTCTTCATTTGATTTTACAAAAGTTATCCAAAGTTAACTAGCAAGATATGGAATAAAACTCTGGGAAATTTATTTGGGATCATTTTTTTTTGTGTGTGTGTGTGAAACCCTCGCTTAATCAGTTTTCAAAATGAACTTGTGAACTTCTTCTCTGAGGTTTTCCGTGCTGCTTTCAAATAGCGTTAGCGGAATTTCTTTGTTACACAAGTTTATAATAGATTGTGTGTTAAGCCGTTCATTGGTAGCAGTGATTCAAATCTAATTTCTTCTTACAATTCGAATGCATTGTCAGCAGACAAGTGATAAAAATAATGTTGCACTCCGAAATTCTCCGAACTAACATCAAAAGAAATATATAATTATGTCGGTAGTCAGTAAGGAGAAATGATATTTTGGTATCAGTGTGCTTCACGTGGTGTGTTAATTGTTTTGCTAGATGCCGTAAACAACTGTGCAATTGGCAAGAACAAGTGCTCACATTTGTGCCTGTCGAATCCTGAGAAACCTGTGTGCGTGTGTCCCACAGGGGACCCAGGCAAATCTGGAAACTGTCAGACGCGTAAGTCTTGTAGTTACTTATAGTTATTTGTACCTTAACTCCACCTCTTCCTACCTACCCTACCCCCTTCCATCCTTCAACTTCCTGTCGTCAAATTAACCTCTCCCTCATTCCACGANTAACGCAATGCAATGTGTAACGCACTCTTTCCATTCTTTTTGACCAGATGTCCTAAAGGATTTACAGGAGTGCGCTGTGAAACAAGCATTGAGCCCACGAACACGCCTGCGTTATGTTCACTGAAATGTCTCAACGGTGGATCGTGTGTTTTCCAAGATGGCAAACAGAAATGCAAGTAAGTCGAACATCAAAAAAAAAAAAACGGGATTTCACTCTCCAAGCAACATATAAACAGTGTGAATGAAAGTCATGTTCCCAGAAGTGAAGCAACAAAAAGCCCATGTGAGCGCGTGACTTCGACGATGTTCTATCACTTGGACTACAGTATTATGCTTGCCTTCAAGGAAGTTTTGTAATGAAGATCGATGTTGTCATGGAAGCCAGCGAGACTGCCATTTTTCGACTTGAATCTATTGTCAGAGAATTTTAGCTCATATGTGATCCGTTATTAAGATGTCGAATTGTCTTACCGTTTTGAGAGTTTAGTTTTTGCGTTACTGCTTCGTTAAACTGTCACGTCAGTGGTGTACTTTTGCGTTACAGCAGGATTTAGTTGTTGTGGTACATCAGTGGTTCAGCTGTTGCGCTCTTAGCGTGTTAATTTGTTTTGTTGGTGCAACTCAAATCCGTTGCGTTTTAGTTGTTGAGTTGCCATAAAATTAATTGCTGCGTTTCTGAAGTATGTCACTGTTTTGTTACAGCACTATTTAATTGTACATGTTGCGTTCCTCAATACATAGTTGTTGTGTTACTAAAGTACAAAGTGTTGCGTAACAATAGCATATAGAGTTGTTGCGCTACTCTCCTCTCCTCAGCTGTCTTTCTCGAACCATGGGTGAATTATGTGACGTGACATGCACTCTGTTCAGCTGTAGCCATGGCGGAACATGTATTGTGCAAGACGGCAAGTTTGCTTGCAAGTGAGTATTGCCTCCACTGCTTTGCTTTTCTTTCGTAGAAAATTGTCTCAAATACATTATTTGTTTTGACAATTTTCCATGCCTCATATCAAGGTCTGTATGGCTTC